CCTCCAGTACATTACCTTAATCAAGGATCTTTGCGCCCTTTCTAAATCTATAAAGTATGATTTAGCTGCTCCTCCCCATACGGATATGCAGTAGATTATTACAGACTGGGCTAGTGCGATATATATTTTATTCATTAGCTTGGTACTCATCACGTTTCTCAAAGATTTGAAAACCCACATGAGCTTCCTTACCCTCCCAATTGTTAGTTCTAGATGTGGATACCAACATAATCTTTGATCCACAATGATTCCGAGGTATTTAACACAACTAACTTTCTGAATTACTGGGCAATTACATGTGTTAGGGAAAGGTGTACCACAGGAATGAATTTTGATTTCAAAATTAGGTGACGGCTGCGAATTAATATATGGAGCGAAGCATACATAATTCGTTTTTTGAGTGCTAAGAGTAAGGAGATTCTCACTTAACCAGTGCCTAACTCTGCTAGTCCCATCTCAGCCCCCATCCTAATTTTATCCCAGGTCTTAGCAGTGAAAATAATAGCGGTATCGTCCGCATAGGACAGTATCCTCCCTCCAACGTTACCAAGGTTACAGAGTTATTATTAATATATAAAAAAAAGAGGGTTAGGCCGAGAACACTACCCTGCGGTACACCATACATTACATTTTCTTCTTCACTTATTAGTTTGTTTATTTTTACACCCTGCTTTCTGTTTTGAAGGCAGCTGCTGAGAAGGGAGAGAGCAGATTCACGAAATCCGATACTTTCTAGCCTACGTATAAGAATGGGGACAGAAACGGTATCAAAGGCCTTCTTGAGGTCAAGAAAGGTCACTAAACATTTGTTACCTTTGTCTACTTCTTTTGTTATAACGGATGTAAGATCTATGATAGCATCCTGTGTCGACATTCCCTTCCTAAAACCATATTGAGAAGTAGATAGGATGTTATACTTGGTCAAGTAGTAGCTTACTATTCTAGAGTTCAAGAGCTTCTCAATGATTTTAGAAATGGAGGCCAACACAGAGATAGGTCGATAGTTGTTTACGTCGTCCCTATCTCCACTCTTATACACAGGGGTCACGATGGAGCGCAGTCCAAGCGCCAAGAAGGTATGGGAAGTTTCCTGTGCGAAAACACAGGTTGGCAAGGTCGGTAATCAAAGGGACAAGGATGTCCTTACTTCGTTTTTAGAAAAAAGTAGGGATTCCGTCCCAACCTGGTGCACTCCCAGAGTCCAAGGACATTAAGGTATTTTCCACTTCCTTGCAAGATGTATCTAGTAAAACAAAAGAGGAATGATGATGAGCTATCACAGTTAGTAGTTTCCGAAGTTGTGAAGCTATTTGAGATGTTCTCAGCTAGTGTTTGCCCAATGTTGACAGAATTTGTTTACATGGTTGATTGAGGACAGGATCTATATTAAGTAGGTCGTCATTTGGGCTCTTGGGTGGCTTATAGTGGGTGATTTCGTTAATGTTTAACCAGAGAGCTCGGAGGGTTTTGTACCGATGCTTTATAAAATAATATTTATGAAAGATTATTACAAAAGTATAATTATCTAATACATAAAAATTAATATTTATTTGTTCGTATTTTATGCGCCAACATACCGTTCATCAGATAGCGCTAAAACTTTGTTAAACCCATTGCATGTACTTGCGAGAAGGTTATATGCATATTACAATTAACTCAGTAGGTGAATTTATTTGAAAATTATATATCATTTTACTTAAATGAATGTATTATTATTCCCAATTAAACAATATAACTCTTCCGTTCTATCTAGATCTTTATATAATGAATAAATTTTTATAATTTTCACTATTATTTTTATAGATTGAGTCTGCAGAATTAATGCTTTCAATTTATTTTTTGAAACTTAGTCATTTACTTTAACGACGACAAGTGGTTTGTTCATGAAACACGAAAATAACCAGGAACCAATATAGTAGCAAGACGATAAGCAGAAACATGTTACGGAAATAATTTTTAGTGTAGTGACATGACGATTTTGGTGATAGGCAACGACAGTGGCAACCGCAGGTAGGTATCGCAGGATACAGACGCGACAAATAATGATGAGAGACGACAAGAAACTGCGAGGTAAGTACATCAGACTCGGCGGATGCAATGTAATCAGTGGAGATTAAGTAATGAGTTCAGCGCGGCAAATTTTATTTTATAAGCCTTTTAGTTTTAAAATTTATATATGTTTAGTACTACGAAAGAAACTAGAACGAAACTTGGATAATCTGACTTGGACCGTGTCTGGATCTAAATTTAACTTAGGACTAATGCATCTGACGAATCGTAAATAGCTGAATAAGCCCTATTAAACAATGAAAATATAAAAAAGAAAAGGAAATCGCGTGTGACACACAAGAGAGCCCACTCCGCTACGTTTACTTTGTCCGCTATGTTTCCACTGTGATTTTGCACCTTTAAATATTTGTAGCAGCCTTGTTGTGTGCTGCTGCTTCGGGCGTTTCGAATGCCGTCCACAAAAATCTGAAGAGTGGTCATAGTTATGGCAATCAAAGCGAGCAGTGCAGTAACGTAACATCAGTCAATTGAAAATGATCTAACTGAGCTTCATAAGTGATCTCCAGAATTTTATTCACCATGCCGCGTCTCTAGGCCCCCCAAGAGAACGCTTAAAGACGTTCCTTCTATAGAATACGTAACACGGAACAAGTATTTGTATTGCCTACAAATATTTTTTCGCAACTGTGTGTTCGTCTTTGTGCTAATTATTTATGTATGCATACTGTCTCCACGACATAGGAGAAAATTCTAGTGTGTAACAGTAAAATTACATCGCTTATAAAACAGCCATTGGGAACATTGTAATAGAAAAGATTGGATCGATTTTATTGAAGTAGTATATTTTTTATAAATAATAAACACATCTTATATGTGTCCATAGACATCTACATCTATCTTAGGACTTAGGGATGAAAATGAATCTGAATTTTAATTCGTACTCGAGGATGGATATAGACGTCCATTAAAGACAGCATCCACTTATCATTAGGCGGACTGTGTACCCGTCACTCTTATTCTATAAAATAAAAAATAAAAAACCTAATAAGCGCCAGAAAGTTTTTATTTTTAATTAAACTGAAGTGGAAAACGAACGCACAGTCCAATCCATCTGAAACCAAAAGCCAAATTAAAAAAAATAAACATAATATGCGTTGTTACCAACGAGGATTAATATAGAATGATTCACAGCCTATATTTATACTGGTTCTCTTTAAATTTCAAACCGGAATACAACACTAACTACTTAGAACTGCTACTTGTTTTGAACAAAACGTCACATTTTTATATACTTATTAGCAACACAGTAGTAAAGTGATCGAGCTACAAGGGTGTTTATCACATTCAACGGCCTAGCACGGGATGTTGCAACTCGAGGACATTGGAGCCAAAAATGCCTTTACTTTCAATGCTAGGTGCTTGTAATGTTTTAACCAAATATTAGATTTTTACACTGAAAAAGATAAAATGATTTTCATTTCCAAATTGTCTCAATGCATATTAAATCCATTTTTGCCCACCTCCTTAACTACGGCACTGATTACAATATTAGCAAATGATCAAGGAACATATAAAAATATATTTGTTTAATTCTAGTTATCGGGAAAATTTGAAAAAATACTTACGAATAAAACTAACGTCAAGTGCAGCCGTTCCACAATATTACAACGAAATTTAACGACTGAAACGCCGTTCTACCATATTACGGCAAAGCGCAATTCGGCATATTTTCTTCAAAAATAACTTCCTTTAGTCAAAAGTTTACGAACACGAATACTACCTCTCATACGGGCGTATCTCATTAGGATAAGCGACTTTCGCTAATAGCTTAAAGTTGTAAGTTACGATTCTGTTCGGTTTGTAGTGTCTATCGCTCGTACACAAAGAAGTTTCTGCGCTTTTTCTCATGGGTTTGTAATGTTTGAGTAGGTTGTTTATACTTTATACTCACACACGCATGTTAATTTGAATTTTATGACTAATTTCGTAGGGTTGCCAGATTGTAAATTTGTGTACATAAACTTTTTTTTTGCGGATAGTACACATTGAATATAAGTAATTTTACGGATTTTACCTTACTAACTCGTGACTCCAACTATTAGGGGTCGCCTTACATTTTCTTATCGGAACAAGGCTGCCACTCGAGAAACTTTCTTTCCCTAGTAAAATGACAAGAAGTCGATGTGTGCAGATGGCTCAGAAACATGTCTTGAGGCATTCCTTGAGGAACGTCTATGTTCAACAGTAGACTTGCATAAGGCTTTTATAGTGACGATCAAGACGGATTTTACAGTGTTTAATTTTAACTTATGTTTAACTTAGTAACAAAATATTAAATCTAAAACCATTCACACTAATGCAATACTTTATTGCAGTATATTATTAACGTAGACGGCAAGATACTGCGCGCTCTTTGAGCTGTTTTTGGTCAAACAAAGTATAACAATTAGAAAGAAAAGAAGGAAGTTAGGCCGGATGGGACACCTATGACTTCAATCCACATGACCACGGGAGTTACATATTAAACGTTGGCAATTAAGAAATGAATAATATTAAAAGCGATAAAATCAGTAAAATACGTTTTATTCAACGTCTGTATCTTCTTTTCATCTTGAAACCAGATGTACAAGATACAATACAATATTGTGTTCTCTTCCAGAAGAACTTTTTTAGTGACGTTTGTAATTTTAACGTCAATTAAAACTGCCAGCCCTGGACCTTATTAATACTTTATTTTTAATCGTATCCGACTCAATATTTTCTGAGGAGCCACCTTTAACCTTGAGCGTGGTTTGTCACTATTATATAAGCGCAAATTTAGTTGGAAATTCATCAGTGTTGTTTTTACTCGTAAAAATAAAGTTTTCTATATTAAGATTTTATCATAAACTCTGTCGAAAATAAGCCACAGGCTTAATTCTGTGGGGAAGTGATATAACGTCATCTCACGAAAATATATTAATTGCCAAATTGCTTACCGTCAATTCATAATGATCCTGCTTTCTGTATTCATTATTTTTCTCAATGGCTTCGTGTAAGTACGAGTAAGACTTCAATTGGGGTCGCCATTTAGTTCACGATAACTCAAGAGCGTGTATTGTATACTGGGACTACTCTTAGATATTATTTTCTACGCCAATATTACATGCTACCCCTACTTTTCAGTGTGTATGTGTATGTGTGTTTTGTTTGTTTACGTATTGATTCGTTACTTAAAATACTTGTGTACGAAAAATCTGCAAATTTTGCATCGTCAGTGATGGTTTGAGCATTAAAATAAAGCATCGTGCATGTTAATTTTGTTGTAGAATGTTAACACTTGCCGAACCACCTTCATCCAATAATGGACAGCAATGGTTAACTGAGCAGGTAACCAATCTTTTTATATTTAGCGATATACATAATGTGAGTAAAAGATATTTATCAGAGCTTGAAATAAAATAAAACAATTTTGATTCAAAACCAATCGTTTGTTTTCTTGCGATAAAACTTAGGTATTTTACTTCTAGCACTTCCATTTTTATTTTATTCAAATCTCAACATGCTAAGAGACGTGACTACGACGAACTCTTAATTGTGGCAAACTACATGAAAACACTAAATCCAAATTCCAAAGGCTAGTGACAAGGGACAGCATTGCCAGTGCAAGCTGCTTCAGTTTTGTAATCGCTCTTGTTCCATGCCAACAAACATTGCCTAGCAAGAACATATGCCTACCCCATAGATTGGTTCATAGGGGGGATTTTACGATAGTTGGCCACATTTACTAGCTGGGTTGACGGCCGCAGTGGGTTATAATTTTGAAGAGAGGCTTGAATGGCAATTTCGTGTTTTGGAATATTTTTTGTTTTAGTTGGTAGTTAGAAGGATTTAAATTCGTAGAATTTTAAAACTTGGGATGTAAAAGTCATAAACCAGTTTTATTTTTCAAGGTTATGTCCTAGTGTTCCAATGTAGATTGTAACCTATAGGTCAATAAATATTATTTTGGTGATGAAGTAAATATTCTATATTGCTCGTTCCTATCTTTCATCATCTTACCATTAAGTACGTGGATTGAGATTAGGATCGGTATCTACTCAGCCGGTTGCATTAGGAGATACCTATATCCAGCAGCGGACTGGAATAGTTTGATAATGATGAAGTTCTATTCTCTGGTTTTATATCAATAAATAATTGCCATTGGAACAAAAAAAAATTATGACGAAAACCATTCCTATAATTAAATCGTTAAACATTGTAACTTTTTGCAACAATTATGCATTCTTAGATATAATACGTAAGTGTTTAGTTATACAAGTTAGTAGTTGTTGTGTTATTAGTTGTATATGGTGTTAATTTTATTTCTATATAATTAATTATCAATTCGATATTTGTGTTATTTTACGTATGGAAACTTCTAAAAACATAATTGAGTTTAGTTTAAGATTATATTACGTTAATTTATTTAAATATTTTATTGATATTAATAATTAAATCGAAGTTCTAAAAATAGTGCACTAAAATGAAAATTTCATTGGTGCCGGCGGGGATCGTACCCGGTTTGCTCGCGTACTGTGAAATTTACACCGAGCGGTAATCATCTGAGCTACCACGGCTCAACTGCTGCAGGCTTGCAATTTTAATTGCTGATTTACCACGTGCTCGGCGTTGAAGGAAAACATCGTGAGGAAACCTGCATATCTGAGAAATAGGAAAAAAAATCGAAGACATGTGAAGTTCGCCAAAACGCATTGGGGCAGCGTGGCGGACACTTCCTTGCCCCAAAACAGTCTCAGAAATGAGGGGAGGCCTGTGCCCAGTAGTGGGACGTATATAGGCTGTAACTTTAAATAACTTTTAACTTTTAACATGATAATAAATGCAGCCCCGGATCTACGTTTCTTTCGACCCGGGGCAAAAACTTCATAGTGGCGCCTCCTCTCTTCAGCATTTGAGATTTGTTAAAAAAGCTCATTAATACATAATGTGTGGTATTTGTGATCGGGACAATAAGAACCCTTTAATAAATTATCTACGCTTAGCTAATACTATGACTACTTCCTTTTAAGTTTATTTTTGTACACTTTTGCATTATTTTCCACCGTGATGGATCCAACAAAGAAATAAAAAAGTTTTTGTACAAGCTCAAATAGGCTAACTGCTTCTGGAAATAATGACGCTGATTGCATACCTACAAGATTTTAAGTGTGCTAGACTGGTACAAACTCTGCCATCTCGTTAATCTGCATAATACTGGATTGAACTCATGTATATCTGCCAGCCATATTAGATTCGTTGTCACATCCGTGCACATCTAAACTATCAGACTCTAATTTTTCTAGATTACGCTTTGTAATATATATTCTCCAGCCTTTCCACCAACTTCAATAAAATCAATAAAGCTTTCCTTTATTTCACATCCAGATTCTGTAATTTTTATAAATCGAATCACCTGGCTCATTTGTTCCATGTGAGTGCAGTCAAACATGATGGTGAAATAGTTGGCCTCCTTGATGTCATTAATAATGGTATTTTGAACTTTGTTTGCCATTATATCTATAATGTCATTTTGTATCGTTTTTAGCAAATGGGATACCCGTCCTTTTTTACGTGATCTAAATGGTATTTGAGAGGAGCATCGTATTTAGTGGGCAGACTTATCAAATTAAGGAAGTTTCCTTGACTAGGTCGAGGAAAACTTTCGGTGAAATCTGTCAGTGTTTCTTTAGAACCTCTAAAAAGAAGACAATTTGTGGCGATGAATATGAATATGTAGAATATGTCTCTACTTTTCTTTCTCAGAATGAAAATTAATCGCTCTATCTTGCAATCGACGCCCTGACACAATTTCATTTGCTGTTGACGAGTTTTCCATTTGATAAAATATTTTTTGGCGTTTGTGATACTTCATGCTCAGCTAATCTTTCCGAAATCTTTTACCAAATAATGAGACTCTCATTACAAAAGGCTGATGTAAAAGTACTGGCGAATAACTTTCCGGCAGTGCCGTAAAGTGCATTTATGGTTTCGAATAAACAAGCCAGGACCTTTTAATATTTTTCTTATGATACCATTGTTCCGAACCTTGGTCAAATGGCCGACCGTTACGTTCAATTGACATAAACTCTATGTTATTTGGATGTTCATCATTTAATAATATAGCTTGTTTGCTGAAGAATGATCTTTGTTGACCTGTACTTTTTTGTGGTCCGGGCATGTACCTGGATCAATTTTATCGATAATTTTGTCTTTGCTATTTGACTGTAATAATTCAATAAATGCTAGCTGAACGTCATCGTCCGGCTGAGATAAAACCAACGACGAAGACTGTTTAACGTCATCTGAGCCTTGAAATTTCTACTGTTCAGTCTAATTAACTCCAATGTCCAAGAGAAACAAGAGTTATTCGGAATACCCGGAATCGTATCAAAAGTATGAATGGAGCTTAAGGAGGAGCCTCCATCGTGAAGCCACTTCATTTGAATTTAAATAATTTATTAATTTTGTGATAATTGATTAGAATCAGGCGTTACTTTGCGGAAATCCATTATAACAATTACTAATTGTTATAATTTTGTGATAATTCTAATAAATAAAAAATAAGGATAAAATTAATTTTTAAATAATTGTTAACAGTAATTCTTTATAGAATTAATAAATTACTAGAATTAGAATTAATCCAAATTCACGCCAATAGATGTTGCGAACAATCAACTGCACTACAGCTGCTGGCAACGCATGTCGGAATAAACCCTTAGGATGTGTTCAAAAACCATCTGGGTGTTTTAAAATCAAGTGAATAATTGGCAGAACAACGTGCGCTGGATACTAGGCGCTTTATGAAGCAAATAAAACTATTTTTTCCAATTATATTATAATTATAGCGCCCCCTGAAACTGTCGCCCGGGGCGGGTGACCCGGTTCCCCCCCTAGATCTGGGGGCTGAATAAATGGCTTAGTTGCTTAAATATCTGGTACAAATTCTATAACAAAACAAAAAAAGTGTACGGTACAAAATCTGCCGTTCACGTTTATCAGTAAGATGCTGCTGCCCATAACCTGTTTCAGTTTCCCTTTGTCGCCTCTTATGACACCCAAGGAGTCATTGGATATTCATACATCATCAATACATAGTTATCTTGTTTTCATAATTTTTTTTCTAAACATTGTTAGTAATTACTAGTAAGGAAGTACTTTCACAAAAATTATTGCTACCTACAGTAATCTGTTTCTATAGATCGGCTAATATTGCAATCACCTTGCGGGTATATAACAATATAATCTGAAAATTCATCCGGTGTTGATTTACCACGTATAAATTTTGTGTAAAATTTTTCAGTCGGCACTTAATATTTATTCATAGGATAAAATACAAAATGAAGTAATTAAAAATTAAAATTGTATTAATAGTTCAATTTTTCAGTTTAGTATAGGGTTTAAACCGCGATTAGTTACGTTGTGACGGTATCTGTCATATTAAAAACGTGGTTTATTGATAGTTCAAGGCTCACAATATGATTTAAGATTAGTCACTTTGACGAAAAACATTCCGTAGAGCACCACTATACAGGACGTGTTGAGTATTTTATGGTATTAGTAAATTTTTTCAAATTATTAAAACTTGACTTTAGAAAATATTTAAATTTTCAGTACGGGGAAGTACCCGAAGTGAATAATTTGTTAAAAAGAAAGTCAGTGGAAAGTTCATTAAAGAATTTGAAAGTCACCAATCATGCCAGCAATGAAATCTCAACAAATGGCAAAACAATAACAAACACATCTAGAACTGAAGTTTTGAACGAAATCCCTGAAGTACTTTTCAGTGACTTACCGCATCATAGAAAATTACTGCTGTTGCTACTCCAAAATTTTCAACGAGGTAATCATTTACTGCTAGTCGAAAACCGGGGATTAGAAAATAAAAAAGTCGCAGGCAGACTGCTACAACATTTGAATCGTTTTACGGAATATACGCAATTGCACAGCGCCACGTCGATAGAGTCTTTGACAGTAGAGCCTAGTGTCAAAAATGGGACTGTGATTTACGAGGATTCACCACTAGTCAGAGCCGTTAAATATGGCTATGTGTTAGTTGTAGATGAAGCGAACAAAGCGCCAACAACAGTGACAAGCGCCTTGAACACTTTAATCGAAAGAAGAGAAATGTTACTGAGTGATGGCAGAATGATGATTCCCAAGGAAATTATGACTAGTTCTAGAAACAAATCAGCTGGTTTTATTCCTGTGCACGAAGATTTTAGAATGATAATTATGGCCAGTCAAACTGGATTCCCGTTTTTCAAGAAAGACTCCTCAGGTAATTTTAACGTTATAATCACTAAATTATCCTGTGTAAAAAAATATATATATATATATATATATATATATATATATATATATATATATATATATATATATATATATATATATAATGTGAATTGGTAGCACCAGCATCCTTCGTAAGTTACACTGCTAACGGATACCGTTTCTGTAGTAATTGTTCTCTACAATCAACCAGAAGCCATGTAACGATTGAAAATTTCACATAGCGACATTTAAATACTTAAATACTAACGGTGACATGATAATTATTGATTCTATTATAAATGACGGAGCCACGTTGCAGTTGAACTTTGGTTGCAACATAAGTGGGATGGCTCAAACTTTACAGGAAAAAGCTCCTACAGAATATTAGCGCTTAATGTTTTTTTTACAATAAGTGATGAGACTGGTCACAAGGCATTTAATCTTAATCCTCAAAGGATACAACGCATCTGTAAGGTTCATAATTAGTAATAGATGAAGGTCATCATTTCAGTTTTTCACAAATACACTGAACATTAGGCCTCCCCCAAGGAAAACCACAAAGCAAAAAAAAAATAGTCCCGCTGGGTTTCTAGCTGCTTCTTCCCAGGACAGAGGTTTTTTTCGCGAACTAGTGGTAAATGAAAAAATAAGTGACTTTCAATAAGTATTATTTATAATCCATATTGAAAAAATATTAAAAAATATATATATAAAAAAATTCTATTTCTGTTTCTGCACGTTACATATTATAACCAGGTCGTTACTCCATCTTTTGGGGGGGGGGGCACCCCACATTACATCTACAGGTACGAAGCTGCAACTCGAGAGCCTTTTTTCCCCATCGGTCATCGGTTCTACGAGATATATGATCGGCCCATTGTCACTTCAGTATACTAATCCGTTGGGCTATGTCGGTTCCTCTAGTGCCACTGTGGATATCCTTATTTGTAAGTTTATTACATAAAGAAACCCCAAGCATAGATCTTTCCATTGCTCGCTTAACGATCTTGAGTTTCCGCATACGGCCAGCAGTGAAGGACCACGTCTTAGAACCATAAGCCATCACTGACAACATGCACTCGTTGTACTGACTTGTTTTCAAATTTGAAGTATACCTGACAAGAGTATGTTTCGTAATCTCCCGAACTCTGTCCACCCGAGTTAATTCCGTCAACCCTATCGGTCAAAATTGCACTTGGACAACCACCGGCATATTTGATCCACGTGACCCTTGTTTTGTCCTTGTTCATTTTAAGAACTATCCGTTGGGAGGCACTATATCTGTAGTCTATATCGTCAGCAAATCGAAGGTGAGTCATGTACTCGTCATTGACGTTAATACCGTATCCTTTCCAATTCAGTAGCCTGATAAATAGAAAATATAGATAATATCGAAATTTAATAGAGACAAAGTGTTAATTTACACTTGAAATGTTTTACTAAAGTGTAACGAACATTGTTTTTAAAAGGAAACTTGTTTGAAGCTTTTTAATGTCAAGGGGTATTTTGTTCCAGAGTCCCATAGCCATAAAAGGGAAAAAATTGAACATATAAGTGTAAAAGCGTAAGCACATTAGTATATCCAAAGAACGGAGAAAACAATTATGAGTATCTCCTAGATACTGAATTTTAGATTTCAAGTACTTGGAAGCACAAGGATCGTTCAGGATAGTGAAAGTATGTGATATAAGAGTGCAGACATATCTCGGTTGAATTGCGATAAATTTTCTTCAAAAACGGAGAAGTAGTCCACTTGTGGTGGACAGTAGTTGACTCCAAGGAACACTATAACACTCTTGGCATTAACTTCAACAAAGATGTATTCCATTAAGCCAGAATAAGAAGATGAATATAACGACACACCGGCCTCTTTTGCCGGTTCGATAATTTCAGATTAAACTATATTCAAGGAGACTGTAGGATGTAGAGGTAAGGTTTATTTGCCAGCCAGCTTCCAGATACGAGAATAAACGTGAGATGTTATTACAGTGAATGTATCCAGAAGCTCTGCGTAATGTTGAGAAATACTTTGTTCATTTAAGTGAAAAATATGAAAACAATTCGAGGACTTTTGAAATTCATCACCAATTAATGAATGCAACGTTAAAGGCTTATCCATGGCATTCAGAAGCGAAAGGTAAGAAGAATTGTTGCAAGTAGACTAACAATATTCATCATCTGATATTAGAAAAAAAACATAAGTAAATTTAAAAAAAAAAGTCTCACCAACTATATCAACTTAAAAAAAAACTTTTAATAAAACAGGAACAATGCAGTTACAACGTAAATAGAAAGAAAAAGCAAAAACAATTAAGTGTCATATTAAACATAAGCCACTATTACATAAATTAAGCACTATTTTATAGCAATGACGTAGCGATTGTGTATTCTACGTTTTTACTCGTTTAGTTGTCAACTTAGATTTTTATAAATTTAAGTTGCCAATGTAAAATGTAAATTGCCACCAGAGAAAAAGATACCAACTTTAAATTATTAGGACAAATGATAACACAACAATGGTTTACTTTTGTTAGACACGAAATTAGTATAAATTAAAAAAAATCAGAAACAAGATGAGTTATTTGTTTCGCTTCACACGTTTAGACCTCACTGCAGACTTAGGTGCATTGTCACTCTTGCTATTTTCTGGGAGGTTCTTATTCGAAGAAATAGGAGTAAGAATCCACTGCAGATTTTTCTTAATAGAGCGATAAGCTTATTGAATTTTATACTCTTCGTTAGCCGGTGTCGTTTAATAATAATAATATAATAATAGTATTTATTCAGACTTTGTCCATAAAGATGTTAGTAGAACAATAACTACTTAAAACTAATGTTAGTATTTAACTTTTATTTTTTTAACTTAACAAATTAAATATCGCTCCTACATTACCAATATCTTATTTGTAATGTAGGAGCCATATTTAATGTTTAACGTTTACTCAAAGATGGGAACAGTATTCCATGTGCGGCCGAACCTGCGCCTTTTAAAGTTGCAGGCGGTGAGCTGGCATATAATACTGTCTCGCTCTATTGAGCACACCAAGCTTTTTAGAGGCCAATTTGACCTTCTCTTCCAAGTGACCACGAAACTGCACGTCACTCGATATATCGACGCCGAGGATTCCAATACTGGCTGAGGCAACAAGAGGAGTGCCTTGAAACTGAAGACATACGACGAAGGGGTTTTTTTTAGCGGTAAACGCGCAAACTTGTGTCTTCTGGGGATTAAACTGGACTAGATTTAGTCGCCCCCAGTCCGAGACTTTGTTCAACAAAGTTTCGACTTCAGACACAAATTTGTCTCGGTACTCTGCGACGTTTTCCCGAGAAATATTGGCATGACCGGTGTATAAAGCATCACCAGTGCTGTCGTCTGCATAGCAATGAATGTTACTGCTCCGCAACATGTCATTAATATGCAGAAGAAACAGCGTCGGTGATAGCACGCGGCCTTGTGGAACACCAGCCTTAATAGGCTTGTAATCGAAGCATGCATCGTCTACTACGAACTTGATGATGCGATCGGCAAGAAAACTGGTGACCAAATTACACAATTACTCGGGGAGCCCATAGGAAGGAAGCTTCGTAAGAAGCGCTTTGTGCCAAACCCGATCGAAGGCCTTCGTTATGTCCAAACTAACGGCCAACGCCTCCCCCTTGGACTTTACTGCCTCCGCATGTTTATGAGTTAGCCAACCCAGAAGATCACAAGCCGAGCGACCGCAATGGAAACCGTACTGGCGGTCACTAATCAGCTGGTGATCTTCAAGGTGCTAAGGGCTGTTAATAGTGGATACCATTATTTTAGAGAACAAGGAGGTGATGGCGATAGTCCTATAGTTGGACGGATCAGAGCGGTTACCTTTTTTAGGTATCGGGTACACGAGGGCTGTCTTCCATGATTTCGAAACTACGCCAAAGGAGTAGAAGTACCGTAAAAGACGCGTTAAAACCGGTTCCAACTCCAGAGCACACGTCTTCAGCACAATAGGAGGGACGCCATCCATCTCACTCGACTTGTTGACGTCCAGGGAGAGGAGTACTCTGCGCAGCGAGCGTTGGGTAAATAGAACATCCTGCATGGAGCACTTACTCCGCGGGATGGTTAGATGTTTGATCCCCCCGTCATCAAGAGTCGAGTTTCACGCAAAGAGTGAGCCCAGCAGATCGGCTTTATTCTTTGCGACATGGGCCAGTGAGTCATCCACACTGTGCATATGGGAGAGATGACTGACAGAAGTTCCCTTGGACGGTCTTGGCGAGAGACCAGAACGCACGTGTTCCGAAGAAAGACGAACTAGTTTCTGTCGATGTGAATGTGAATGTTACCTTAGAATAACCACACTTGTCTGATATCGATTTTTTTCATGCAGCAATAAGGCTTGATACTGACTAGAAATGAACTCTTAAAAAATATACAAAGTTCCCTTGAGCTGAGTTTTCTTCTATAGAGTTTTAGTGGTTTTGGATTAGATCACGAAGGGGACGGAGCATGGACTTCATTAGAGGTGACCATTTCAACTTAAATTTGGGTTCAGTGTGCCTTTTACCATTCAATGATCGCTGTCAGTTATTACCTTCGCGATCATTGAGACATCACTGAATAGTTGCCATCCAGCTGTCATAATAAAGTGAATCTCATCATGTCATCGGGGCTTCACCAGGTTCTTCCTTCTTGATAAAATCGGCCAACTGTATGCTCTTTGGGGTCTATTTCTCCATCCCGAATATCCCTACCGACATCTCAGCCTTCTCTTTTGTGCCTAGTTTGTTGTGTTGTTTCCTGGTCGAATCATCCTAGGTGGCAACCGTTTCTCCACCGGAGATTCTTAGTTACCATAGTCTCCATCATAGCCAGAAATAGTGGAGCGACGGAGGACTAGAGGCTGTTTATTTGCGTCATTATTTATGGGGACATATTTGCCATAGTTGCCACGCTGGACAAGCGAGTTGGCAACTGCAGTTTTTATTGTCATTTTGCTGTTATCATAAATATACTGCCCATATTCTGCCTTAGTTTCCCTTTGTTGCCTCTTACGATACCCACAGGAAGATATAAGATGGATTAAATTGACAAAAAGACTTGGGATAAATTAAATTGTCTGGCTCACTACAATCCATGCGTTATGAACAAAAAATCTTCAAATACAGGGATTTTTGGGGAATAAACATATCGAATTAGAAATAACTAATTTTAATTGATGTTTGTATTATGGCAGATCTCGAGGCTAGAGATGTGCGCCGTGCCAGTGTACTGCCACCGCCGGGAAATCTTTCACGCCGCCGCCGATTTGTTGCTTGTATGTATTTTTTTGTGATTTTGAAGCTTCTAGAAGTTACTTAGTTCGACTACAAGCACGGTTACAATTTTAACAAATTTCTAATTTTCTGAAGTACCTCCAGTGCTCAAGTTAGTTTCAGTATTCTTAAATTAGTTAAAACGTAAACTCCTTTAATATCAAAGTAATTAAAGTGATTGTTGAAGTAGATCTTCGTGTCGATCACATAAACTGTTTTTATCCTTTATTCTATCCCCAGTACCTTGAGGATGTTATACTTATCGTAAACCTCTTGTTATTAACTCAAATGTACGGCCCTTACAGTGAGTTAAATTACAGCATCAAGAAATGGAGAAATAGGCGTCACCGTCAAAGCGGTGGGTTCCAGCCCAAAGATCATCACTACTGTGATGGGTGGCCATAGCACAGGCCCATATGCTGCTACAGCTGTGGCTACAGGTACAGCAGTCGCCACAGCAACAGCATTAACTTATGATAAGGGAAGCTCGACAGCTACGGCTACTGCTTCGGGCTCATCGGTTGCTAACGCCATAGCGTACTCACGCGATTCAGGAGTCGCCACCGCCACAGTAACCACTTCTGGCTCATCAGTTGGTGACGCAATAGCAGACGCATACAACACAGGAGGCGCCACTGCCACAATAACCTGCACTGGTTCATCAAATTCAGGCGCTATAGCGCGCGCACAAGACTCAGGGGTTGCCACCGCTACAGCAACTACTTCTGCATCAGCATCTCTTAATGTCCGGGCAATGGCCAGGGGTAACGAAGTCATCACCGACACAAAAACTAAGCCCTAAAATTAAATTTATATTTTTTTATATCGTATAAAGAAATTTAAGTATTAAAATGTATAATAAATTAGATTTCTCTTTTTTATTGTATGCCAAGTTTATTGAAATTGAAATCAATTCTTTTTTACTATATAGTTGGTACTTTTGATTTTAAATTAGTGACGTTAGAATTATATTAAATATACATATCTCCTTGAACCTCTGTGTATGAAAAGATCTCATAGCGAAAACATATTATTAAAAAAATAGTCCCCAGAATAAATCCATGTCGTATTTTTTTATTTACCTGTTAGGACTGCAGCAGGCTGGCTATATTTAAAAATCGTTTTGATGTTGTTTATTATTTATACATTCTATGTTTCATTGTAAATCTGTCTGCATAGCGTGTGGATTTACAAAAAAAAATACCAATATATCTTTCTTTTTATGCAAATTTAATGATTTATAAAAATTTTCTGGTTTGGTCTGGTTCAGCGGAACAATTGGCATAATATGTGAACCAAAACTAGAAACGACCGATAGTAATTAATGTTTGTGTTATGAGCAGATCTTGTGGGCAGAGATTTGCGCAGCACCAGTGCGCTGCCGGCGCTAATACTTTCGGACCGCCGCGCTATAGGAAAGCCCCATTCAAAACCGTCTCATAACTGTTTTTAACGAAAGTCGTTGTTACGTGAAGAAAATTATAAATTAATATACTTTTATAAATAAAGTTTCTTTTTAGGTATTTTCATTTTATTTTGTATGTTTAATATAAGTATAAAATAACATAAAATCTTAGTCATGTTCGATTAGATGATTTTTTTTATTAAAAATTCAATGCAATATTATTTGAAAGTTTTCCATGTAAATATATAGATATTATAAAATTTTGGAATGCTTATATGCTTCTCCAAATTTTTCGTAAATAAAATTATGTTAGTTAATTAAACAAAAAGTAATTAATATAGTTTAAGTTGTTACATTTTTAAACTTTTTTTTAAAGAAGAGATTACCTTTTACCGATGCATGCCGATGCCAAGGTATTTATTGCATTAAGATATTCGCACATTACTTTGTTTAAGGACAAAAAATATACATCACGAAATAAAATCCAATTTGAAAAAAAAAACTTTTTTTAAGTAAAATAGCATGGATGACGGTGTATTTATAAATTTATTGAAATGAAATATGTTGAAAAGTTCTCAAGACCTACCTGTGGTCATAAAAAATATGTCTAAATTTTGATATCCATTTTGGTATAAATTTGACCACAAAACTTGATAGAATCTTATTTTCATTCATTCAGTTGTTTTTCAAAAGTTTATAGAACTTTATAATGATTAGAAAAATGGGTGAATTTGTTTGTAGCAAACGAGAGTTGTGCAGTTTGGTGATAAATGGGCAAAATAAAGAGATTACTTAGAAAGAAATTTCAATTTACCCGCAGAGGATATAGCTACGACATAGGATATGCCACTATATAGCATATAGCCTCAGGGTCTCCTACATTCAAAGAAACTTAATATTTCAATGTAATAAATGCTGGAAAAACGCATATTGGATAAGAGAACGCTTTGAACGTCAGAATGTCAAATGGTTAGATGGTGAATTTCGTGTTCCACTTGAGTGTCGGGCCTCGGGTGATGAACTTAATAAATCTGGAAGTAGTGGTGTCAAGCCTTCGAAAGCACACGAAGCACGTTTAGAAAAGACAAAGAAACGAAAAAAATCGAGTTAATACAATAGCATAGATTCGACTGTGTGCTCAATGCATATGCTCATGAGTTACGGTCTATGGGTGAGACGGAGGAGGCTACTGTCGTTAATATTTTATGAACTGCATCAAAAAATGATGAGAAAAATTTCTCAAATATATATAGGTAAGCCCTGAAGATGTCACACCTATTTCAAAGGAATATTCATTACGGACATTTATTGAATTATACCTTAACAAAAAGTAGTATGGAACACTTCGAGTTTACTTGGCAGGCAAAAACTGCGCAGTGTTTCTTTCTTATCCAACCTTATCCGATGCAAAAAGATGTGTTATCCACCTGACTCGAGCATTACCATTACTAATTTAAGTGCAAAAGTAATTCTTCAGGACTTGTTGGATCATACTTTGGCACGTATATTATTAATTGATTCAGTTTACAAAAACGGTATAAAAAACTTAAAACTATTCTGTAAATGAGGTTATGATGGGTCATTATGGCAGAGTGATTTTAGAAAGAAAATATTGTAGATTCATATCGATAGAATTTGCTAAAGAAACTCCTGAATAAAGAAAGTCAGTAGCTGATAATAACAATCAAATACAAAGCCTGTCTTCTTGCCGGTGAATAAGTATGGTGAGGTGATCAAAGTTACTCATCACCTATTTATAGATAGATAGATAATTCTTTATTGTCCACCAAATCAATACATAAACGAAATAAGATTTATAACCACGATTGATGGCAAAGTGGCACAAGTTTTTACTGAAACTAGTTCGAAAGCTACTTATACAGTTTGTGGTGCCACTACTCGACAAATGAATAACTTAGTAGCAGTGAAAACACGACAAGTGAACGAAAGTTCATTTCAATACGCCAGCACACCATGCTTGGATTAGGAGAGTACATAAAAGGAATATACATACCTACTACAAACTATATCATCTGGAATGGCTGGCGAATATGCATATAGCACATCCAAACTGTACAGTTTCACGTACGTGAATAATTATAATTGGTATTATGTAAATGCCTTTGTCTGTCCACAAAATACTGATTCACAGGGAAAAATTAATTAAGTACTATGCTATTTTACCTATCGGACAATTGTCTGAATATGCACAAGAATCTCGAAATAAGCATTACAAACAATTCAGACTTCATCAGGCTAGAAAGTGTTCATAAGCAGCTACCAACGAAGATGTATTTCATAACATTTTATATACTCCTGATCCATATATATCAAGTTTGTTAAAACCCTAAAGAAACAATAACAAAGGAACTGTTTGATGAAGCCAATGCTCTTCTTGCTCTCAACGAAGTTCCATAGAAACTCAAGAAATTTTGTGCATTTTTATTAAGATTTGATATGATATTATTTTAGTAGTTCATTTTATGTAAATTTATGAATAAAAACTAAAAAATTTGAGTTAATTTACACTTAAAATTAAACTTAAATTTAATTTTTTTGTCATATAATAATTTTTATTCACTCAAAATAATTGTTTTGATGAATTCAATAAAGACCGTATATATTCAAGTGTATATATCTAAAATTACAGTTTAATTCATTTTAAAACAACTGAAATATGAAGTTTGAGACGAAACACACCTTAGTTTTGCTTCAGTGCAGCGGTGCTGATTCGTTTCTCCTTGCTCCTCTCCTTTCGTTGTATGAGTACATGAGTTGGAGGTTAATTCGACTATATATGCTAATTTTGAATTTAGAAATTTCCGAGCGCATCTTTTTTATCTTAACAGTTTAAGCAAGTTATATATATATATATATATATATATATATATATATATATATATATATATATACTTAAATTAATTATTTTAACTTTCACTTGTTTTTTTCACATTTAAATTTTTAATGAATTTATCATTAAACATTTAAATGATACATCCCACTATCCACATTTTTAGCTCCTATTAATAGCATAAAGGATGTGAAGGTGTGCTTAGATGTTTGGATATTTGTATGTTTGTGGTTCAGTCACACAAAAATTACTGAGTAGATTTTGATTAAGCTTGAAAATATTATAGATAATAAATCAGAATAGGCTTTGATGTTTCTGACACGAGTAACATTTTTTTTTCATACAAATAAAATTTAATTTCTAGGCGTGCGCTGTTATATATTTAACAGATAGAAGTAGAAATATAAAATGTACTAACTAATAAGACTATATTTAAAAAAATCCGTGATACTCTGTATATATATATATATATATATATATATATATATATATATATATATATATATATATATATATATATATATATAAATAAATTTTTATGATATTTCCGAATTGTAACGTTAATATGTCTACATAAGTACGATTTGTGTAAACATGGATTCCGCGAAATTTTTGCGCAGCTTTAAAATGTTGCCGAAACGAAAAGTTCAATTTAAGAGTTCAATTAAAGAACAAATATGATTTGATGATAATTTTATGATAAAATGAGTCAAAATTACTCAGGAAATTTTTATGTTTTTTTAAACAAAGGAACAGTTATTGTGACTAATATAGGATACGTAATATATATATATATATATATATATATATATATATATATATATATATATATATATATATACTAATGACACGAGTAACATTTTTTTTTCATACAAATAAAATTTTATCATATTTCTAGGCGTGCGCTGTTATATATTTAACAGATAGAAGTAGAAATATAAAATGTACTAACTAATAAGACTATATTTAAAAAAAATCCGTGATACACTGTATATATATATATATATATATATATACAGTGTATCACGGATTTTTTTAAATATATATATATATACTATACACGAGTAACATTTTTTTCATACAAATAAAATTTTATCATATTTCTAGCGTGCGCTGTTATATATTTAACAGATAGAAGTAGAAATATAAAATGTATAACTAATAAGACTATATTTAAAAAAACCCGTGATACACTGTATATATATATATATATATATATATATATGATGCACTGTACCGTGATACACTGTATATATATATATATATATATATATACAGTGTATCACGGATTTTTTTAAATATAGTCTTATTAGTTAGTACATTTTATATTTCTACTTCTATCTGTTAAAATATATAACAGCGCACGCCTAGAAATATGATAAAATTTTATTTGTATGAAAAAAAAAATGTTACTCGTGTCATTAGTATATATATATATATATATATATATATATATATATATATTACGTATCCTATATTAGTCACAATAACTGTTCCTTTGTTTAAAAAAAACATAAAAAATTTCCTGAGTAATTTTGACGCATTT